CAGCCACATGCAGAAGAATGAAACTCGACCATTCTCTAACACCATACACAAAGATAAACTCAAAATGGATGAAAGACCTCAATGTGAGACAGGAACCCATCTTCCATTTCAAGCTCACTCTGGGGTATCTAATTTAGAAAGGTATGGGAAGGTATGCAGGATGACACATTCTTTTAATTCATTCTCTCATTCTCCTTCCCTCTCTGTTTTTCTCTGTTTCCCTCCTATCCTCTTTCCCTCCCCTTCTCATGCAAGAATAATTTAATTCACAGAAGGTAAATTCACATATGATGCTCTATAGCATGATGTAGTATTTCTTAAACTGCAATTATTCATGGGCCACCATCCCAGTTTTAGCCAAAGCCACTTTCCACCTATATTATTATTTACTCCATTTTAAAAACCAACTCATTTGTAGATCTTTTCCCTCTGCCTTCTCCATCTGACAGCTCACAATAAGGAGTGAAGATTAATCAGTAGATGGGAATTTTCTGGAGAAAATACAGCAGGTATTTCACTCTCTCCAGAGAATCAGGTCTTTCTCTTTGGGATATTTTTCATGCACTCTTTCATTAATGTATTTATTCACTCTTTCATCAAATATTTATTGAGCATCCAGTGTGTGCCAGACAGTGTTCTAGGCATTGCAATACAACAGTGATTAAAACAGGCCAAGTTCTTGCCATCAGAGAGCTGATATTATCGTGGGAGAGATGGACAACAAATAAATTAAGAAAAATTGCATAGTGTACATGCTGTACAGAAATTTAAATGAGATGGTGGAATAAAGCAGGGGTGGCAAACTATGGCCTGAGAATCAAATCCAGCCTACCACCTGTTTTTGTATATAAAGTTTTATTGGCACACAGTCATGCCCCTTCATTTACAAATCATCTATGGCTGCTCTCCCACTACAATGTCATAGTTGAGTAGTTATAACAAAGATCATTTGGCCCAACATGCACCCCAATGTTCATAGCAGCAATATCCACAATAGCCAAACTGTGGAAAGAGTCGAGATGCCCTTCAACAGATGAATGGATAAAGAAGATATGGTCCATATATACAATCATTGGTGGCTGTGGTTCCAATAAACAAAACAGACT